TCACTGTAATTGTTCATATTGGCCACAAAGAGATCCCTAACACAGCTCCAATTTCAATTATAGCTGGGCCGGGCAAAATTTGGCAATTCTGAGCAACAAGCAGAGTGTAGGAAGATGGAAAAAAATGTGGCATTCTAAGCATAAGAGACCATGCTCTATCTCACTGAGCTAATTAGCAAGAGACAACTCTGTGGTATATATGTTTAAAACTTCTTCTAGCTCATTATACTGATAAGAAGTCAATCTATTTCATCATAAAACACTGAATGTGTGGTATATGTAGAAGCCCATGTGAAACATGTAATACACACACACACTAAAACAAAGCATATCACAACATAGAAGTTACATCATATAATTATGGCATGCCCTTCAAATTGTGGATGAGTGGCTGAAGTGATCAGACTCATAATATACAAAGAAAAAACTCAAGAACAAGAAAGTAAGAATAACATTAACTGCTAGCAATTATGAAGAAACTGGCCTGATCTAGCTTAAAGCTTAACATTATCCATGGTGACAACGATGAAAACATTTTTTTTTAAATGTGAAAGTAGCTATTGGATAGACTCTGCATATTGACTGATAGCTAAGCCAAATAAACAGGGAAAAGAGACAAGGGATAACAGGGAAAAGTTTTGATAAAGAGTATTTGTCTCTCTGCAAAACTGCCTGGATCATAATTGTTTTAACCTTGGTAGTCTCTAATCCACATAGCATGATGCCTGAACATAGGACTTTCACATTAAAATGTCCATTCTGCCTTAGCTGAGGCTTGAACTCACAGCTTTGGAGACTGAGGTCCATCTTCTATCTCACTGAGCTAATTGGCAAGTGGCAATTAATGTGTGGATTCACAAATTGACTAAGCCAAGCATCATTGTGCCAGACAGTAGCATCCATGCTATAGAAAAGCAAATTTCAAAGTGAAAGTTCCAAAGCTGTAGCACATATAGTTGATTTGTTATGAAAGTGTTGAAATTTAGAGGCTTGCTGTAGCACCACCATCAGGACTATTGTCTTGTGTTTCCAGTTGAGGACATCTGGCATGGGACTGGACCTTTATGAAAAGTTTGGGTAGATTTCTCATATTGAAATGTTGCACTAGTTGAGTCTTGAACTCACAATCTTCAACACCAAGATCCATCCTCTATCTCACTGTGCTAATTGGCAAACAGAAATGTCATATGTAGCTTCACAAATTGACTAAGCCAGTCACCTGTGTGCAAGACAGTAGCTGTTAGTGTGTAAAGGCAGATTTCAAACGGCTGTAAAAAAATTCAGTTATTAAGACAAAAATCAGAAAATACACATATTGCATCTAGACAGCATGGAGATGTTGGTAATTTGTTTTTAGCAATGATTTATTGGCTCCATAAGTGAAAAACTGATGTTTAAAAATGCCATTTTTGCATTGACTCCAATTGTTTGCATGAGAGCGAAATTCAAAATGCTGTAAAAAATTCAGTTTTTGAGATAAAATTCTGATATTTTCCAAACACCACCTACCATGACTCAAAAATTTTGTCTTTTTTTGATGCACTGTAGGCTCAATTTTGGATAAATCAAAAATCTGTGTGGATCGTTTGTGTAGGACAGTCTGAAGATGCTCTGTAGCAAGTTTGGTGTCAAGTGAGCAAAAATTGTGGGAGGAGATAGCTTTAATAAGTTTTACAGTTTTTGAAAAAAACAGAGTGATGGACTTCATAATTTGCAATAGGTTTAAATGTACAAAAGTTTCTTCGGTATTGGGGCTACATTTTGATAAAAGTTGCATATCTGTAGCACATATGGTTGATTTGTTGTGAATTTTCAACATTTTGAACTTTAGAGGCTTGCTGTAGCGCCATCATCAGGACTAGTTATTGGACTAGTTATTAGTTATGAAGCACACACACACACACACACACACACACACACACACACACACACAGAGTTTTAGGTGTATATGTATTTTACCAACAGCTGCTTTTATGTTACATCCACTTGGAAATGTGCCCAGCTTGTCAGTGTTGAGAGCGTTTCCACCTCAACTAGCTACTGTACAACAACATCAGCGTAGATATTACCCAGCAATCATTATTACATACCTGTATGACAAAAACTACAAAAGAAAATCGGAAGTTATTAGTTTAACTAAATAGTTTTTATAGTTTATGTACAATAAGCATGTCATTTGTTATAGATTGATTCTATTTTACAAGAACAGGAAACAATGATGAAGATGGGTTTGCCTTTTTGAGGGCATATATAGAAAATCACACTATTTTTCATTAAACATAAGTTCTTTGATCACGGGTTTATTTCCAGGTGGCAATCGGAGTCCTCCATCCCATAGGCCGCTGTCTGCATATTTACGCCCCTGATTATGCATCTTTTTGTGGTTTTATGCATCTTTGAGATCATCATTTCATGGACATTCTAAGTCTCCTCCTAGTTGGTACATGTTACAGTAATTTGAGTGACATTTTGCAGATGAAGGCCAGGTGGGCCCCTGACATGGTAGGCCTACCCATTCAGTAATCCATGCATGACTAAATGTACTTTGTTGCTATTCATACTACGTCTCCTGACTTTCTTGTGGTAGATTTGTGAGTTTTTACTTGTGAATTTACCACCTTAATCTCAGAGAATATCAATGATTGGCTAGTATTAGCTCTAACAGTGACCTTTTTGCCCTAAATGTAGCTACTACTAACCAAACCCAGCCATAAACTAGCCACATTTCTTCACAGCCAGTATGGAAAGGGGGAACAATTATAGTGAGTGATTGCACTTTTAATTTACATATGAGCATGTGAAAATTATATTTAAACTTTAAAAAATATGAATCTACCCTTTAACCAGTTCCCATGAAAAAGTGAAATATTATTTTGTAACCACTGAATAGTGCTAACGATTCAGAGCACTCTGCTCTCACTTCTCTGTCTTTACCTGGGGTATTTCAGGGGCTTCCCATCTTCTCTGTGGTTTTATACTGAACACAAAAGGGAAATAGAAACCAGGAATTCCTTTATGCTGTAGATTTCCTGAGTATTTTTTGCATTGCTGTGTGGTTTTTCTAAACTACAATACATACTTCCCTTTTACGTTATGAGCAAAGATGCTACCTCCTGATTTGGTGATGCTCAGTAGATCTAGTATTAGAATTAATTATCAGTCAGTAGATTATTCACGGGCAAGAGAACCCTAGATTCTTGTAAATGGGATGACAAGGACGCTTGATCGCTTATATAAATCAATCATTTGAAGGGAGTAGAGCATAAATATTCCCCTGCTGCTGAGGATTTTTTATCAGCACCTCTGAAGCCTAACATAGAGTATTGATACTGTATGTTTTAGTTCTTCACCTCATGTGTCCTGCAATACACGTGTTCACCACAGTGTGGTGAGTGGAGGCCAGAGCTTCTGCTCCAGTGTGAGATGTTTAGTGGCTGCATGTTATTATGTACGTGTCAGCAGTCTGGACCCAGGGAGCAGGAAAACACAATGCAAGCACCTTTTCAACACCATCCCCTGTGAAACTAAACTGTGGGCTTAAACCCACAAAAGGTGGCTTACCACTGACTGAGGGAGTCATGAGAAGGACATAATACTCATCACAATAGAGGTGCACCAACTGGCAAACTAATAAACTGTCAGAATCAGGACAACATCATCAACACTTTTATTTTTTAATTCAAAAAGTAAATGACCACTGTTGTTCATCATATAGTGGTGACACATTTTGTTTATGTTTTTCATGTTGTTTAGTGTTGAAAAAAACATCCAAATGTCAGGCTGTTATGAGGCTGATGTGATAAATCACATTAAATCTCAACTTTCAAAGTTACCCACATCTTTAAGACTTAAAATTGTGCATGGATTATATTTGTATATTCCTCTGATGCCATTCCAGCACAGCTCTCTGGAGTGTGAGTGCAGAGGTAAATACATATAGCCACTCCTGGACACAGATTCAACAGTGATGGCAAGACAAACAGATCATAGAAACCAGCAGAAACTGTTACTGCCAGCGTTTTGTCTCTATGCATGAAAGGAGAAAAGCAGTGAGCTCAGCATAATCCTTTCAGAGGGCTGCGGCCGTCCCGCTGGCTGCCCTGGTCAGCATGATGCTCCAGTGCAGAAGCTCAATGCCAGGCCTGCTCTCCCCTCTTCCTCTCCAACCGTGGATTTTCCACCGCTTTATCTGACCTGAGCCTCCAAACCCGCCCAGCACACACTCACACACACACAAAGTAACACTGTGCCTAATCAGTTCTGCTGCCACAAACCTAATTTGTACCGATCCAGAGCACCAGTGAAGAAATTGCCCGTACATCACAGAGGAGACAATGAAAGGAAAGCCATGGAAAATGAGTGAAAGGTGGACACTGTCATGACATTAACGCTGTGGTTGTGAAAATATCAAAATGATGGGAAATCAAGCAAAACTCCCACTGCACTCAGCCTCTACCTGCTCACAGGGTCTGCCCACCACATGCCCACTGCTTTTCTATTTTCAGGTTTGAAGGTCAGTGCAGGTTCCCAAGGGGGCTGATCAGGCAGTGATGTTATGAATTAGTTTTTTTACCACTTTTAATAATACTTCAACCAGACTGTTGGTGGTACCAGGTACAGGACCCCCCCCCCCAGTAAAACAAGACAGGGAAGCCCCCAGCAGAGATATAAGAGGCTCCAAAGCATTGTACATTTTGTTTATACCTCACATAATCTCAACCTCAAATCATAATTACAAAAGTACCCCTTAAACTCCAGCAAATTCCCACACAAATAAGTTAAAGAAATTATTAAGGACTGCTAGGCATTTAAGCTTGCAACCCATTAGTCCAGATTTTCTACAGACAGAGGCAGGTCAAGGCAGGAGAAGGGTTAAATGAATTTGTTTTGATTTGTAGTATTGTGCGCTGGCCCCTCCCCTGGGTCCGGCGGGGCTGCTGTGGCCCCTGTGGAGTTATAAAAAGGCCTCTGAGCTCCCCCTGCTCTGGTAAAGAGGCTGAATGTCTGCAGGACATGCTTAACGTTTGTCTATCCATGTTCTTCTACTAACAACCAGCGGGGTTGGCACATAGATGCACAGAGACTGGCGTATTGCTCCACTCAGGAGCTCTCTATGACAGAAATCAGAATTCAGAGCAGCAGATTGTTCACAGTTGCATGAGAGTTACATGTTGAGCAGTTTACGTGTTGTTGCATTTAGCTTTAGAGAGGCAATTTCTGTTTGAGGGCGATTTTTTTTTTGTCATCTGCTCTGTGTTTTTTGGTTTGAAACACAGTGGTTATTGTGGAGAAACAGCATCTCCTCTTAGTTGATTAGTTAGTTTTTCTGTTTTCATCCCTCCATTGCTTCGAGGTTGCTTTTTGACCCTTTGCCACCATGTGGGAGTTCAGGTCCATGTCTTTCTGGCGGGCTGTGTTCGCCGAGTTCTACGGCACCATGTTCTTTGTATTCTTTGGGCTGGGGGCAGCCCTCCGCTGGACCACCGGACCCCATAATGTCCTCCATGTTGCCTTTTGCTTTGGGCTGGCGGCTGCCACCCTCATCCAGTCCATCGGCCACATCAGCGGAGGACACATCAACCCAGCTGTTACCTTTGCCTACCTGATTGGCTCCCAGATGTCCCTGTTCCGTGCCTTCTTCTACATCATGGCCCAGTGTCTGGGAGCACTGGCTGGTGCTGCCGTGCTCTACGGGGTCACGCCCAGCAACATGAGAGGAAATCTAGCGCTCAATACGGTAAGATTACCTGCCAGTCACCAGAATACCACATCCATTACCGCAAATGTTACATCACATTAGTCACATGCACTGACTGTTGAATATTTATCACAAATTGAGTATTGTATGTACACAAAACATAGTTGCCAATTCAAGCCTGACAAGTATGACATATTGTCTTTAAAAGGGAAAAAAATCAGTGTGTATGTACGTGTAAAAAAAACTGCATCTGCATCATATATACAACAATTTAATTAAAAATATTGAAATCATCTTGACTGTGTTTTAAATTTTTGCACTCACATCGCTGATTTCATCTTTCCTCCCCCTCCTGTCTTTCAGCTGCAGCCAGGCATCAGCCTGGGCATGGCCACCACCATGGAGGTCTTCCTCACCCTGCAGCTCGTCGTCTGCATCTTTGCTGTGACTGATGAGAGGCGCAACGGACGCCTGGGATCTGCCGCCCTGGCCATTGGCTTCTCTGTGCTCATGGGGCATCTTCTTGGGGTAAGAACAAACATCTCACTGGGTTCATATAAAAATCTAATCATTGTGTCACCTCACATGCACATTTACTTACCCCTGACCTGCTTTCTGTCTTTGACTTAGATGTACTACACTGGAGCAGGAATGAACCCAGCCAGGTCCTTTGCCCCTGCTGTCCTGGTCAGGAATTTCGTCAACCACTGGGTAAGATGATGATCCGATCTGTAAATCTTGTTATACTTTGCATAGTAATGTGGCATCTTCAAACTCACTGACACATTCTGTTCTTTTTCTGCTAATGGCAGGTGTACTGGGTGGGACCCATGATTGGTGGCGCCATGGGTGCTCTGCTGTATGACTTCATGCTGTTCCCCCGTGTCCGCGGACTCTCCGAGAGGCTCGCCACACTGAAGGGCACCCGGCCTCCAGAGGCTGAGGGCCAGCAGGAGAGCAGGGGAGAGCCCATCGAGCTCAAGACACAGGCCCTATAAGCCTGGAGAAGAAGATTGGCTTTCTGACCCCCCCCAATCCCTCACCCCTCAATCTGCACCCTCAGATCCCGGTCCATCCTCAGCCCACTCAGCATTTCTGAGCACATACCTCCTCCCTGCTTCCGCACACGCTTAACATGATCCCCAAACACCTTTGTTATCCTCGTTCTGCATCCAGAACTGGACCTACCGAATTATAGTGAAGGGGCATCCACAGCCCCGACCATCTCGCCTGATTTCACCTCTACCCAACCTTCCTCCTCCTCTTCCTCCTTCTCCTCCTCCTACTCCTCCTCCTCCCCCTTGGACTGCAGGACAAAGATGGAGGGTTAGAAGAAGACTTGCCACTGAAGGAAGCACCCTGTGCCCTGTGGTGTGGGGAGTCAGTCACTCCTAGCTGACCAGGTGGCTATAACTGCTCAGGACAGGGGCCTCTCTCGCTATCTTTCTTTCAGTTTCTCTCTCTTTCTGTTTTTTCTCCCTATTTCATAGTCTGCTAGGAGTGAAGCTACAGTAGAGCAGTGGACTTCTGCATGCTTTTCCATTTTGATCCGGTGTGATCTCGCCCTTCGTCTCGTTATGTTAAATGAACTTTGGGTAAATTACATGTACGTATTGTACTTTACCAGTATTTATTTGGCTCACATTCTTTTTTTTTCAGTTGTACGTGTGTGTGTGTGTGTGTGTGTGTGTGTGTGTGTGGGTGTGTGCGTGTGTGCGCGCGTGTGAGTGTGAGTGAGAGAGAGAGTGGGTGGGTGTGCATGCATGTCTCTGTGCATGTGTATGCGTGTGTGTGCTTGTTTTAATTGATCATTTTTATTTTTCACTTTTCATTGCCACAATATTTTGTCTGTACCATGATTTCTTTTTTAATTTTACAAGCATATTTTAGGGAAAGATGCAACCTTTCCCACGCCCTAACTGATCCTGCAAAAGTTCAACAGATTCCATGTTTAGATTGATCCCCTTTTTATATCTAATGAAAATAACTTCTGCCTTCGAGTCTTGAAGCCAAATTTACTCAGTTCAGAGTTTGTGTCTCAGCTAGTGAAGCACACACACATTCATATTTATATTAAAATAAACACAAAACACAAAACCATCTGGTCTTTTCTGAGCTCAGTCTTCAATGACGTTACAGTTACACTTGAAATGGTTTAATTGCCACCAAATCTGTTGCTTTATAAGTGGGAAATCTGCACCACATTTAGACAACTTATACAGTGTTTGTGTTGGGTTACATTTTAAATGACTTCTGGCATGAGCTTTGCTTTTAGAGCAGCGCTTATCACAGATTCATGTACAGGTGTGTGATAGTTGGTTTGCTTTTACTTTTGCGTGTCTGCCATGGAAAAACAAAGAAAGCAAACCTGACAAGCTGTCATGAGGAACACGATTTTTTTTTTTTTTTTTTTTTTTTAGTTGAATTGTGTTGTTTGACACGACTGAAGGGTCTTTGTTACATCAACTCGAGGTTAGAAAATGAAAGAGTGCATGAGGTGTGGTGGCTTGTTGCTGGTGTTGGCAAACACCTGGTGCCTTCTCTTTTCTATGCTGAGCTGGGCGGCTCTTTGGGAGTGAGATAATTTTATTGGACAAGCCCCTCTCCGATATTTGGGAGAAGAGAGAAGGTCACTGCGAGGCGACTGAAATCTTTAGTGTGTTTGTACAGGGTGATAAATGTACACCTTTATTTTCATACAACCTACACAAGAGAGAATGAACTTTGAAGTTGAAGCTCTACATTTGCCCGGCGTCCCCTCTCTCTTCCATCCCTCCTTCATTCACCCTACCTCCTCCCTTTGTTTACGAGGCAGCCATCTTGTTCTGCTCTAATGAGGGGACATCTAAAGCTGCTGGGATGGAGGGAAGGGGACAGGGCACGGAGATAAGTTAGCATTTTGACAAATTTCACCCGAGCAGTTACCGAACCAGACATGTAAGCTGATTCTCTTTCTGCTTCCTCTACATAACCTTTTTTTTCAGTGTGATTTCCCTGGCAGTGGTTGAGTAGAATTTACATTTTAGTGACATGTTGAAAATTAGCATTTGTGTTCTAATGGAAAAGCTTTGTGATGTACAGTGTAAAGTTTTCTTTTTTTAAAAAATCATTTCATGATTGTTGAAACTGGATGGATAGGAAATATAATATGCTAGTTATGCAATGTCTCCTCTTGGCTGATGGATTATGGAAGTGATGCCGATTATGTTATACACCAATATGCTTTCATTCAATGGACAGCCTTTTTGGTACCAGGCATACCTTCCCGATCGCAATGCCATTGATTTATTATTTTTATATGTCAAAAAAATCCGAAAATTCTTATGTTTCCAATCATTTCTTTGTCTGTTTTCTTTTAGACTGTAGAGAAATATGAGATTTAAATAGATGGTCCCACACAGGACAGACTACATTTGCCAAAAAAGCAAATCTTAAATGTTTGCAACAATTATCATTTATGACAGGGGTGTCAAATTCATTTGAGTTCAAGAGCCACATACAGCCCAATTTGAACTAAACTCAATCTCAACCTCAAACCTAAATATTTCCCCTGTCTTGTAGTGTAAAGAAGGCCAAGTGCTTTCTAAAAACGTTAAACCCTTTATAAAACAGATGGTGAACAGCCTGAGATGTCTTCAGAAAAATAAGTGCAATTTCAACAATATGGCTCAGTTTTTCCACATTTCATAAGTCTACTACTCAGTGACATTAAATGTGCATTTTTCCATACATTTCCACTCGTGCAGAAATGCTGGCGTCACCACACTACATTAAAATAAAGCGGAAGCTATTGAGGAAGCAGGTTAAGTTATCCCCTGCCTTACAAACCATTTACAAATCGAAAGTTTTGGTACTACTGTACCGAAACTGCTGACTCACACAGTGTTCAGTATCATTAAATATAACTGCAAAAGGGTATCCATTGTGTTTCCAGAGAACTGTGTTGTGGTCAGGGCGGAAAAGCCTATGACTCAACATTTTACATGAAGTGGCTACTTACTGTTTAACTTCCTCCTGAAACCTGATAAAAGGTAGCCCTTACAAATACATCAGAATTAGATGTGCCCTTTGATGGACAGGTTCTGGCACACAGTTCATATTTTTGACACCCCTGATTTATGACATACTCATGCCACATCTGAGAACTAAACCCAGTAACCATTTCCATAAACATTTGCAAGTCAGATGAGGTTATGTCTGCGGTACCACAGGGACAGTCAAAGAGTCAATTTAGTCCCCAGTGGCTTGTTGAACATATTCCTCTGTGTGCAGCTTTTAAAATGTCTACACAAACATCTGTGATATCAGTCAAAGTTGGCTTAAGACAGATAGGCTAGTTAATACCTTGTAAATAAATTCACGAAAATATTTTTTAAATTTTGAGAAAAACTGAGATTTTATTTGATGCCACGGTTGAAAGATTATACGGATTGTAGTAGCCTCAGGGTAATTTATCCAAAAGTCACTCTGCAATATATGACAGGTTATGATCCAGTATAATTACATGCCGCATGGTACATCCAGTACACCAATATGTAATCACATGCACAGCATTGACAGTGATGGTAGGGAGTACAAAGTGTCTCATTAAACCAAAAGTTGGTTAATAAGGAAGATTTCTACATTTAGCTGAAGATAAAAGCTGCTAAAATCAGAGCAAAATTAGATTTAGAGCTCCCAAATCCCCTCATCAGAATAAAATTATACTAATGACTTTACTCTATATCCATATGTTTTTAGCCTGTAACACCGAGAATACATTTAAATGGCACATTAACATGTTATGTGAGACTCAAAACAAAATTACATGAATGTAGTAACATAAAATAACATCTAATTTTGAAAATCTACATAGAAATATAGGTATGGATATATACTGTTGATCATTTACTTTCACTGCATTTATGAGTTGTATCACTCTATAAGACTGAAGACAGACGGTGAGCATTTTTTGCATTAGGGACTTGATGCATACTCAGAAGAAAAGGGCCAAAATGACTGGTTGAGATTAATAAATGACAGCTTTAAAAATATACACATGTAACAGAAAATACAAACAATGGTGTCTTTAGGTAGGCAGATATATAAAGAGCCCTTACCACCACCACCACCACCACCACCACCACTATCATCAACACTTCTACTGCGTCCATCAATGTGGTGTAGTTTCACAGTTAACAGTGACGGAAGAGCTTATTGTTCCTTACATTTGAGTCTTACACATTGGCTATGAAGTCTTTACCATGCATACTGTGCATAACTGTAAGACTGGGTTTGTGATATACTATTGCTGAGGCTTCGCCATCAGAGGGAAGGGTTATATACAAAAGGGAAATGCAAATACACTTGCCTTGTCACGTTAAAAAAAAAAAAAATGCAAAAAACCATCTCTGGTAGCCGACTGTGGTGATCAACGACATCAACAAACCTACCATCAAGTGAGAGACAGAAGAGGTGTTCGACAAAAAGGTGCACAACAAGGATGGCCGACACACTGCCATGACAGCACTTTTCGTTCTTTTCGTTTGTTCTCAGTTTGACTTCCTAAAAATGATTTCCTGCTCTCACGTAGAACCAGCTCAACATGTTGAGTCCCAGAGAAATCACATTTGTTGTCACTCAAAAGTAGATGAATCTGTAGATGGATGATGGAAATGTAGGGAGAAAGTCTGCACAAACCAAGGCGGTGGTTTTTAATATGACGGTAAGACAGATGACTGTGGCTCTGGTCTCTATCCATTGTCTGCCTCCTGGAGTTTAGACACTGTTCTTCTCCAGAGTCTGGAGAAAAGTGTCTAAGTCTAGATCCATATGTGGGCTAGCTGCGGGCCTGGAAAATAGACACATACACATTGTGACCTCTCAACACCGTGTCAAACTATTTTTGGGAAAAATCAAACAATATTGAGATGCCTAGAAAATGAAAACCTACATGTGTACCGGGAAGCCAACAGGAGGGCTTGGACTGAACTCCACAGAGTTAGGTGCAGTATCCATTATGTCTTGATTGATAGACTCCTGTGGACTGAAGGGCTGCTGGAACTGACGCCTGGAAGAAACGACGACAGCCCTATCAACACAAACCTTAAGATTCATGAATAACTAAACTAAAGTTGGCATGTTTTGCCGGAAGAAGCAGCAGCAGTAAATCTGTCCACAAATCTGAAACAGAGTATTTCACAGAGCTTATTTCACGTGACCTTAAAGGTATACCTTGCAGGAATTGTCAGTTACTGTTTATAAACACACTCACCAGCGAAACTAAAAGCAAACCCCAGATTCACTCTTGTTTGGCGTTCAGTGATGGTTGAATGGGTATACTTCTGTAAGAGTCTACGCATAGTTTATTTAGGCATATCCTGCATAGTATATCTTTAAAGACATGTTTAGGGGGATCCCTCCTCAGTTGCTCTTCCTGAGGTTTCTACCGTTTTTTTCCCCCGTTAAAGGGTTTTTTTGGGGGGAGTTTTTCCTTATCTGCTGTGAGGGTCCAAAGGACAGAGGGATGTCGTATGCTGTAAAGCCTTGTGAGGCAAATTGTGATTTGTGATATTGGGCTTTATAAATAAAATTGATTGATTGATTGATTAAAAAGTACCATGTGGTTACGTGTTGATTGTATTGTCTGCACTTGTTGTCATGGTGATGTGTTGTTCTCTCTTGTTGGTGTGTTAAGTGTTTACTAGAGGACCACAATGGGCTTAACAATGGGCTTTATTGTGTTTACATCCTCTGTGATTTGTAACATGTTCAACGACTGCAGTGCAGTGTTATCTGTGTTTTTATCCATCAAATAAATTCAATAATCAATCAATAAGGAGCTAACACTGGTCAAATTACAAATTAAAAGCCGAACTTTTTGCTCATGACTTTTAAAAGTCAAGAAATCACTGTGGCATTATTTCAAAATGGCTGAAATATTAACGTTAATATGCATCCCATGTCCTCAGACAGTGTTGTTTTTCAGCAGCCATACATAAGCACATTCATTTTGCTGTGCCGGTGTTAAGAAGAGTTACCTTTCATTTGTTCAGCCGCTTTCTCTTTCATCAGACTTCATGGAGGATGATATTGCATGTAAAATGTGAGGTAAGTGTACAATGTGACGTACGAACAAAGTCCAAGCCAACGAAGTGACGATGGAACAAAGAAGCGCAAGTGTACCACCAAGTCTTGCAACATCGCCTTTGTAGACTGATAACTAACTAGAACTACTGCCCTGTGGTTGTATGCCTCCATGCACCTGTCAAGTTTCTCCTACAGTTTGCATCCATGTCTATGAAAACATGGATGCTTCACACACATCTTCCCCCCAGTAGCATGGAAGATCTACTATACCATCAGCACAGTTTCAAGATTAGTGTCACCATATGTCTCCCCTTCTGTTCCTGAGTTATGACATTGAATAATGGCCAGAAAAGTGTTTTATGCAGACTATTATGATGGCACAGTGGAGTTGACCTTTGACCTTTTGGAAATAAAATGTCATGACTTCATTATTTTATCCTATTAGACATTTGTGTGAAGTTTTGTCATTATTAGCATATGGATTATTGAGTTATGGCCAAACACATATTTTGTGAGGTCATAGTGATCTTAACCTTTGACCACAAAAGTCAAATCAGTTTATTCTTCATTTCAAGTGGACGTTTGTGTCAAAATTAAAGAAATTCCATTAAGGTTCACAAGAATGAGACAGACGAGGTCACATAGACTTCAACCTTTGACCTATGACCACATAAATCTAATCAGTTCATTGTTGGGTGTAGGTGAACGTTTGTGCCAAATTTGAAAAAATTCCCCAGAGATGTTCTTGAGATGATGCATTCATGAGAATTAGATGGATGCAAGGTTGCAGTGACCTTGACCTTTGACCCCTGACCACCAAAATCGAATCTGTTCATCTTCGAGTCCAAGTGAACGTTTGTGCCAAATTTGAGGAAATTCCCTCATGGTGTTCTTGAAATATTGCGTGAAAGAGTATGAGACAGACAAGGTCACAGCGACCTTGATCTTTGACCAATGACCATCAAAATCTAATCAGTCTATTCAAGTCCAATCTAATCATTTGTGCCAAAGTTGAAGAAACTCACTTGAGGTGGTAAGACACAGCACCAGGGAGTATGAATGACAGGAAGTGAGTTGGTGGTATGGAAATAAAGTGAAGGAGAGAAATGTGTAGATGTGACACTTACACGTTGAAGCTTTGAGGGTTTTCAGCGGCAGCCGGGGGTGTTGCTGAGCCAGCTTCCCTGCACACACACAAACATGATCCCTTAAAATTATTTCACTTTAAGTAAATCAAATGGCATGGTTTATTTGTGGGGGAAATAAAA